ATTTAAAAGACAGGTAGACGAGGTGCTTAGGGACATGGTTTAGTGGTGGACAGGTATGGTTGGACTCGATCTTAAAGGTCTTTTCCAACCAAATGATTCTATGATTCACCAGCAGCATTTTAGCTTGATGGTAAATTTCCACACTACATTGCCCTGTCATTCTGCCTGTCTGCTTACCCCATTGGCATAGAGCCAGCACACCTTTCACTCAGAAACAGGTATAACCTGTGATATTGTTCTGATCATTGTTTCGTTAAACTGCCCAAAAGAAAAGGATTTAAGTAGGCAAAAATGGAACAGAAGTGCGATGGGGGAAAGGGTGGGAACAGACAAGACAAAATGCCAAGAGACAGCATACCTAAATCATTCCAGAGTTACGCTACTACGAAACCCCAGCAATTTATAAGAAACACATGTAAGCGATACAGACCTATGAAGTATTTGCCCATTTTTAACCCAATTCTGCTGTTTCAGTGGACTCCCTAATACAAAAATATTTCTGATTTGAAATCTTCTCCAGGGTCTATTCCATATAGATAGATAGATCAGATAAAGATAAAGCTGCTCTCTTTGAGAAGAAATAAAAATGACAAAGAGCCTATTTCATTGTCAGTTAAATAAACAAGAAATGCATACATAGGAAACGGCTAATCAAATGTCTGAAACTCCTCCCCACGTTAAGGGAGTTAGAAGAAACCTTAGAAGCCAGCAGCAGTGCTTTTAACCTACATATGCTCTTCGTCGCTATGCCATGAGCATCCGCGTGGGCTTGGGAAGTGTATTTTTTTCCCCCCCCCTACTGTGCAGTCCTTACCTGCCACCCCCGTAGGAAAGGCTACCAAGCGTTCCAGCGGAGCAAGCCATTTGCTCGGAAGCACTGTAACTGGCTCTGAATAGTACTTCCAAATGAGAGAGATCATCAAGGCAGCCTGGAATTGAAATTTTTATTAGCTCGGATAATAATATACATCAAAGTACATTTCCACTGCTATTTTGAAGAAGTAAATCACAAATTCTAATGAAAGGGAATAGGTTTTTTGTTATTTTACATTGTTCTCAAGAAGGTTCAAAATATTTTTAAACTTAGTATGACTGTAGCTTCATACACAGCATTAAGATGCAGCAGTGAGACGCTGGAAAATACAGCTTCCTTTTGAGACCCTGGTTCAGGTCTAGCATAGACAAACATAGTAATAGTCACTGTTAAATTTTGATGACTGTTTTTAGCCATAATCCTTGCCTGCTAGGAGTCCAACGAGCTTTAACGTTACTCTAACGAGATCTTCAGGTTGACCACTGTCATCCTTACTAGCAGATAATTCTTTGGCATCAAGCCTGAACTACAGAGAAGATCTGATAAGGCACTGTGGCAAAATCTGCAGCAGCTGTAGGTGGAGATTTGCATCCTCATCAAAAGCATGTTTTGTTTTCAAAAACATAAGCAAAATATATTTACAGGTATCAGAACTTCCCGGGGTCCACTGCCATATATAAATGAAAAAAAACCCCAAACAACAACCAAACAAATAGCGATGAAAGAGCTGAGACAAACACCTATCTTGTCGTCTTAAAACCAGAAACACAGAGCTAAAGTGAAACTCAAAACTCCTTCCATCCACCGCTACCAGACCTTATCAGCAACATCTCTCCCTTCTGTGTCAAGGAACTGTTTCAGTTTGGCATGCCCTGTGTCACTGGAATGTTTTGAACACTGGTGTAACTAATCATCAGCCAGTAAGCGCAGGAGAGAATGGTAATGCTACTGAGGATTTGCTTTAGTAATTTTTATTCATAATAAAGTATGTACTTACTTGTAAGATGTAGAACACAATATTTATAACCCACTTTATTTTGGCTAATTGGGCAGTTCGCGCTTTCACTGTTAAGAAAAAAAGAAATGACTCTGCATTATTTATAATAGTGAATTACACTTACATAAAACTATTAACATATTAATATTTCACTCTTCAAATCAGGACATCACACTGTTTAAAAATCTCATTTCAAATGACTCATAGCTATATTGAAAGTACCCTTCTGCAAGAAAGCGTTAGGTCTGTATCACACCATAGTTTCTTATTAATGCTACTATGAAGAGTCACAAAACACTGATATCCTACACAGAGGAATGTCACAGGTATTCAAGAGCACTATTCCCAAATGAGAACAGTAACTGTGGTTACTCACTTCAGAACCTGCTTCGGGTGAAGCACAAAGTACATTTTTTCCCATTCCTAAAAGGGGAGAACGATGGGCTTTAGCAGATGTGCTTTTTGCCTTACTTCATTCAGGAACACAGCTAAGGCTGGTTCCTTCACTGAAGGAATCTTGGTCAGGTTCAGTATTAAAACCTCTGGTGCCCGCTCTTCTTCTCTTTCAGTACCACAAACCAACATAAAGCGTCCCAGGGAAGACGGCACATCTTCAAACATGACGCTGGCCTAAAGTTTTCTAAAACAATGTTGTTGGTTGCCAAGCAAACTACTCCAATCTAGTTTAACTGAAATTATTGGGTTAAGAGTTATACCACTGAAAGCAATCCAAAGCTGACAGTCCTAAGTACCATCCTTTCTCCAAACAAGGAGCCTACAAACATCCACCCATTCCGCACGGAGGAGGCGGACAAAGCAAGGAGTCTCCTACCCTCTTCAGATCAGTTAGCGCATCTGGGCCAAGGCAAGAGCAAAAGCTCTGGTGCCAAAGGTTTAGCTGTACTTTCTACCATGAGATGACAGACTATACTACTACAAAATCCTAATGGAGGCAAAGCACTACAGCTTTATCGCAAAAGCTGCTGCCTAAGAGCAGAGAGGACTGCAAAGCGGCAGGACAGCTCTCATCTGGTTACCTTACAGATCAGCACTTTCCCTCTAGCATTTTGTGGCACGCCAACCAAAGAGCCCAAACCAAGCAACGCATCCTTTTGCAGTGAAGAAATGCAGCAGAAGACCGCCCCATCATACTCAAAACATGACTCAGTGATGAGCATCACGGAGAAAGAGTAATTAATTACACAGTGAGGCCCAGGAAATTCCTCGTGAGAAAAATTTCACGTCTAAATCACTCCCTTATCAGTGTATGCAGAACTATGCACAACTGAAAGATAAAAGCAAGCTCTCCAAAAAGTTTAAAGAAAAAAAAAAAAAGGAACACTGGAAACGTGCAAGAGAGGGAAGAGAAAATTTGAAGGAGAAGTACACTTAAAATTGAAAGCACTCTTGACAAAATGTTTTTCAGAAACTAGGAAAAGGAGCAAACACTCTACCATGAGTTTTAAGCTTGTCGGTCATTTTGTTAATCTTTCTTTCCAGACGGGCATATCTAGCAAACTCATCCATCATACTAATGGTCGAGAGTTCTTGCTTCATGTTCTGAATTTCAGCTCTCATTTGGGATTCCTGCTCTGCATCCTTTTGTAACAATCTGGATATCTAAGAAGTAAAGAAACAGTATCAGTTATTTATCCAGAATTCCACTGATTTTCTTTAATATGCATAAAGTACCATCTCCTGTTTATATACTCAAAAGCCCCCCACAAAAAAAGGCCCTTTCATTAGGACATGGGAATACCTCGGCTTAACATTTGCAACACATTCTAAAAGCCAAAGAATTTTAGCTCTCTTGTTCTGACTAAAGCAAGCAAAAAAAAAAAGGGGGGGGGGGCGAGGTGTCGATTGTAGGGCAGCGATTTTCAACTTTCCTAAGTACAGTTAACCGCCTTCTGCTTCTCTATTTCTGCTTTCATCTCCCCACGCTCTGAGACTGTCCAAACCTCCCTGGTCCTGCCTGCCACCGCACCCCCCAGCTGAACTGCTGCCCTCCCTCCTTGTAGTTCTCGGTAGGTGCAGGAGAGGAAGGACCAGGGAAGCACTCCTCTTCATCACTGCTCTTCCCAGCTCCAGCAATGCTCCTTTAACTCATTCACCATTCTCAGGCTCCAGCAGCCTCAGCAAGGGTCTAAACTAATTAACGTGGAAAACTTTACTGACTGAGGCCCAGTTTTAGGCCTCACCGGTAACGCGTGGCTCGACAGTGGGGAATCACTCCTCCAGACTGCAGATTGCCTAGTCAGGGGGCTGCTAGAAACACAGGCGTTGCCACGCTGGCTGAGGGCTGCGACCCAGCCAGTGCAGTGTCTTGTCGCTGTCTCAACCCGGACACGCGAATTTGCATTAGTTATTTTTCTTACACCTCACCCATGCACTTAAATGTGGTTTTCTTATAAGACCTTATTGGTTTCTTGGCTAAAATTATTTCCTCCTGACAGAAATGTAAAAAGGTAATCATACGTCATCTTAGCAGAGGTTTTCTCCCCTTCTTTTGGCTTTCCTACTTTCTTTTCACAAGGCACCACCTGCTCGTTGGTTCACAAACCCCCCCTTACCATAGAAATGAAGACACAGAGAACACAGAAGCTTTTTCTTGCTGTGCCTTCGCACACTTTGCTAGCTTTCTCAAGACACGTGCAACTTTTTTCCCCCCCTCCCCAAACGATGTTCCCAGTACTGTAGTCAACGAGAACACCACCCTACTTTCTGCCGGGAACCTCACCAGAAAGCTGAGCAGAGATTTTCATCTATAGTAACGCCGAGTTCAGCTTCCCAAGTTGCTACGTGTAATTTATGTTCCAGAGGATTTTTATCTGTTACCGAACAGCACGCACTGATCCTGGGTGACAGCGAAGCCGCTTGCGCGGAAGAGTAGAACAAGAGGTGTTTTACCGTGCTTGCTCACAGGCAAGCTTATTTGGGCAGTCACAGAGCGTACTGCTCCGTAGCTCTGTTACCCACGCTTCCGCAGAAACGCCAAAGATGAGAGCGGGGGGCACCCTGATCAGCGGCTGAGACCTCAGGGCTTCTCCTACACGGCCCTAACTCCTCAACCTCACTATCCACTGAGCTCCCTCCCCAACGAGGGGGGTGTCCACCTCTGGAAAACATAGAAGACTGAGCAAAGCCGCCCTTCATAACCCCGACGCGTCCTAAGGGCTGGAGCCTCCGGAGCATCCTTTGAGGAGGCGCTGGGCAATGAGGGAACTCGTTACGCAGAACCTCGCTTCGAAGGCCCGCTTAATGGCGGCTGCTGGAGCCACCCGCGG